GCTGCCAGATGTCGCGAAGAGCCATGTACCTGATGGTGTTTGGGGTTTACGCAAGAGGGGTTACGCAAAAGGTTTTATGCACCCGAGATAAGATCGGTTGTGGTGGTTGTAATGGTCGTGGGGGGGGAAGGGCTGAAGGGGAAAGGGGAAGCTGCTACTGCTGCTGCTACTGCTGCTGCTGATGATGATGATGATGATGATGCAAATGCAAAAGGCGCAAACGACCGCATTCTAAGTACCAGCGGCACCAGCCCCAGGAACAGCAGGTAGCCATATGACGCCGCTGATGCAGGGGTTGGGGGTGGAGAGGCGGGGGGGGGGTGAGCTAATCCCCGGAAAAAAGTATAGCTTTAAGGACACCCTCTCACACAATCTTTCCCCCCCCGCGACCCCCGCTTCCTCTACCAACCTTTTCATTTCTCCACCCCTCCAAACACACACACACATACATACACACGCACCTTAGTTTGAGGCAGCTCAGGCCCGTCAGCGCCTCCAGGGGCGCCACATCCTCCACCACCGTCACACCCCGACCGCTGTGATGCAGCTCCAGAGCCGCCAGGTGGGACAGACGCGACACGGCTAACGGCAAACCGGGGAGTCCTGCACATGTGTGTGTTTGTGCGTATGTATGTTTGTGTGCGTGTGTGATATGTGCGTGTTATAATTAAGCTGTTTACATCAGGAAGCGGCGGCGGGGGTTTGGAGGTGGAACTGGAATCATGTGCCCAAAATCAAAACCCAACGAGCCCACGTGTACACACACAAGCACATGCTTCGCGGAGAAATGAACGGGACCGGGCAGCCGTACGAAACCAAAGCAATCGCGTAACCCCTTTAACTCACACTCCCCCTCTGCACACAGAAAACACACAAATCACCCCCCCCCTCTCAAACCCCCTCCTCCCCATCTCTCGCTATAAACGTCGCCCAGCGGCTTTCCTAGCTTTGTGCTGGTACCTCCCCCCCACCATCCTTCTCCCCACATACCTGCATTCAATGACAGCGATTTCAGCCCAGTCAAACTCCCTAGCGCCTCCATCGCCGCCGCCATACCTAACCCCGTCCCCCCTCCTCCCGCTCCTCCTCCTCCTGCCGCTGCCGCCGCCGCCAGCCACCGCCCAAGCGACCCTCTAGAAGCTTCCGCCCGAGTAAATCTAAGCTCTGTAAGACTGGGCGCGGCCCCGGGCCGCGCCAGCTGCGGCACCAGGGCGGCGAAGAGGGCTGTGTCGGCTGTGAGCTCCAGCGAGGTCAGGTGGCGGAGGCGGCAGAGGGCGGGCTGGGAGGCGGCCAGAGCTGCGGCTAGCTGCGGCGTGTGTGGGTGCAGGTGTACGTATGTTTGAATGTACGTATGTTAGTATGGTTAGTATGGTTAGTATGCGTGTGTGTAAGGGGGGAGGGAAGGGATGCGTTTTGGGAAAGGGAGGAGGGTGGGTTGGGTTGGGTTGGATGGGGATGATATGGGAGGAAAGGGTTGCAGGGGGGGGTACAATCTTCCGTGAAAAGGAAGGCAAAAAAAGGAGGTGGAGTTTGCAGCTCTGGGGGTTTGCAGCTCTGGGAGTTTGCAGCTCTGGGGGTTTGCAGCTCTGGGGGTTTGCAGCTCTGGGAGTTTGCAGCTCTGGGAGTTTGCAGCTCTGGGGGTTTGCAGCTCTGGGAGTTTGCAGCTCTGGGGGTTTGCAGCTCTGGGGGTTTGCAGCTCTGGGAGTTTGCAGCTCTGGGGGTTTGCAGCTCTGGGGGTTTGCAGCTCTGGGAGTTTGCAGCTCTGGGAGTTTGCAGCTCTGGGGGTTTGCAGCTCTGGGGGTTTGCAGCTCTGGGAGTTTGCAGCTCTGGGGGTTTGCAGCTCTGGGGGTTTGCAGCTCTGGGAGTTTGCAGCTCTGGGAGTT